TATGTATAACTGTTGAAATCTGAATAAACTCTATGGATTGTACCAATGTCAATTTCTTGGTTTTGATACTGTACTATAGTTATATAAGATTTTAACAGTGGAGGCTAGGGAAAGGGTGCATAGGACTTCCCTAAACATTTCTCTGCAAGCTCCTGTGAATCTATAATTATTTTAAAATAAAGTTTTTAAAAACTAGTGGGAAATTTAAGCAAGAAAAAGTTCTACCAAAAGTTCTATGACTGTGCTAGGGATAAGAAATACAGGTCTCAACACAACACTGTAAATCAACTATACTCCAATAAAAATTTTAAAAGTAAATTTAAAAATGTAGTCTCAAACTTAAGACAATATAAAATATCTAAAAGGAAAGAAATCCTTAGATGTGCTGAAATCAATTATTCTATAGCTTTAACTGATGACAACTGAAATTCAGCTATCATGTTCAAAAATAAAGGGAAAAAAGTGAAATTTTAAAAGTTTTTCTTACTTAACACCAAACCAAGAAATAGAAATTCTAGAAGGTAACAAACATCTTGCTTTCTGAATATGCACCCTATTCTTAATAAATATTTCAGCATGCACACTGACATATAAAACACCTATTTCTGATCTCCCATACCAAGATATGAGTATGGGAGATCCAAGGCAACCCACTCCAGTATTCTTGCCTGGAGAATCCCATGGACAGAGAAACCTGGTGGGCTACAGTCCACAGAGTCACAAAGAGTCAGACACCACTAAAGCAACATGGCATGCATGCACATGCATGTGTAAGATATACAGTGTAAGATATAAACTCCACAGTAAAAAATATAAAATAATGAAGAGAACATGAATAAAATGCAAGATTTATCCCAAATTATATTTAAAAGAACAGATGAAATCAGGGGTTTTATATTTTTCATTTTTAATTTTCTAGGAGAGTATCTTGTATTAAGTATTTTATTTTTCTTTCTCCAGTAAAGAGTTTTTAGGAACACTATAAATGAAAGTAGAAGACTGTAATTAGTGAGGTTCTATAATTCTTTTATTGATAAATTTACATACTAAAGGCTAATTCAACTGGCCTTCAAGTATATTTCGATGAAATTAGAAGTGAAATTCAACATATACCAAATAAGGCATATACCAAATAAAATCAAATGCATTTTTACTTTACAGTGTATTTTGTAAATTGGCTTTTATGCACCCCATCCACAAAACTCCAGTTCTTTACTGGACAAAGAAAGCTTATAGTACCATTTCTCCTTTGCTTTGTTTTAAAAAAGAAAAAAGGCTTCAGACCTCCTTTCTGGGGTACGGTCTCCAGCTTTTAATGTTTAATCTCTCCTGAATCTAGCAGCCCCAGCTGTTGTGTTGTTTAGTCACCACGTCATGTTGGACTCTTTTGCAACTCCATGGCTGTAGCCCACCAGGCTCCTCTGTCCATGGGATTTCAGAGGCAAGAATACTGGAGTGGGCTGCCATTTCCTTCTCCAGATCTTCCTGACCCAGGGATTGAATGTGTCTCTTGCATCTCCTGCACTGGCAGGTTCTTTACCACTAGTGCCTCCTGAGAAGCCCAGACCTGAGGCTACCTACCTGCCTTTAAAAGAGCATGAGTTTTTCAGCTCATCATTGTCCTCTCCAATAACGACAGTCCTGCACTAACTCATTTTAGTTGGCAAAACTCCACTATAAATTACCTGTGGGCAGAGAATGGCCAGGTTTTAGTCATCGAATTATAACACCTGTCATATTACCAGTACCAAAAAGGGAGTCTATGCTGAGTAAATAAAAAGATATGGATCACTTTAAAAACAAAATAACAAAAAAACCCTTAATCTGTCACTTTTGAGCATCTGGCATTCTGGGAGCATGCTGCTATTTTTTTTTAGATATCAGCAGCCAGACTGCTGATTTCTCTGGTAGAAAAGCCCAATCAGCATGTATTATATTTAGGTTTTGAAGCTTTCCTTGAAGTTTTTCCGAAGTTTCTGACAACTGAAGGAAAAACACCGAATAAAGAGTCAGGAAATCTAAAGTTAGTTAAAGTCGCTCAGTCGTGTCCGCCTCTTTGCGACCCTGTGGACTGTAGCCCACCACACTCCTCCGTCCATGGGATTCTCCAGGCAAGAATACTGGAGTGGGTTGCCATTTCCTTCTCCAAAGCCATACGTAAATCTAACTAGCCAGTTAAGAGTTTCCGTATCAGTTTCCTCATCTATAAGAATGAAAGGATGGAAATATATCTTTTCAACTCATAAAACTTTGTTGTAATCTCTGTGTTCTTCTGGGTTACTCTCACATTTCTTTTTTTTTTTTACTCTCACATTTCTTGAAGCTTAAAAGGTTGCCTCTTTTTGCTACTAAAGATCCTTGAAAACCAAGGGGGCAGGATCAAAAGGAGGTTACCTCTGGGTTAAGGACTGTTCTGTATTCCTAAGGAACCAAAAGCCAATCTCAGTATAATTAAGTTTTTCTTTCTAAGGGATTCTATTAAATACTTTCATTCTATCCTTTCATTCTAAATTTACTATTTAATTACTGCTTTCTTGATGTAAAAATTGTTCTTTCTGAATGTATTCTATCTCTATGTATCTGTAGCTCAAAACAAAGTGCTAATCACAGAATATATTTCAGAATTTTAAAAAAATAATTATGCCTCTTTTAAAGTTTCTCATTTTGTAAACAGTCACCTCAGTGTTTGCCTCTTCTATTACCTAAGCAACTGTAATCCCTCCATGATTCTCTCTGTGCTCTCTAAATTCCTCAAAGCCACTGGTTCTTCTCAGTTATACTAAGATCCCCCACCCGCACAAAAAAAAACCAAAACTATAAATGTGGTATGTACAGTTGTACAAAGAAGAATGAAAAAAGCAGGGATTCCTCAACTCTTATTAAAATGCTTGAACCCAAAACAGCTATACACTACGGATATAAAAGTTCAATTAAAAAGTAAGCCATTTTTACAGTTTCCTGGAGAACACAGTTCAAATTCCAAAAAAACTGCTATTCAAAATAATAAACCAGTGTCAATAAAAATCTAGTGGTACATTTCTGATCTTCCCAAAGGGGCACGGTTGTGGCTGAGGGAGGATATAGCTATAATAGTTCTTGAATGTATAACAGCATTCACTGGAATGATATTGTATTAGTCACTTGTTTAACACATAGGAAAGCTCTAATTTATTCAGTACTTTAGCTTCCATAGCCTCTTCAATCTTGATTTGTCTACTGAGGCTTTCCCATAATAAAGGAACACACCATCCTATTAGCACTTTTTGGTGATATGAACAGTCCCAATAAAAAACAAAAAGCAAAACATATAAAAAGCAACAAGGTGCTGATATGATGCATTCACAAAGTATTTCTGAGCAGAAAATTATCCATGGAGCAGGAGTGCTACCCCAGAACACTAAGAGACAAATCTGTCTAGGTGCATAGCAGTATCACTCAACCATCTTCAGCCTTAAACCGACTGAGGAAAAGTAGAACTATTATTTCATCAGTAATAGTGGCTCACTAGCAGTTTGAAGAAGTAGAAAGGGGGTCCCTTACAGGATGTAGGGGTGTGGTGAGGGTGTATACAATTTCAGAAATACAGTTGTGAATCCCTTCCTCCCTTCCCTGAATGTTAAAATTTAAATGTTTAAAATTCCCTCACCACTCACCTTGTTGTTGTTTACTCACTAAGTCGTGTCCAACTCTTTTGTGCCCCATGGACTGTAGCCTGCCAGGCTCCTCTGTCCATTCCCAGGCAAGAATGCTGGAGTGGGTTGCCATTTCCTTCTCAAGGGGATCATCCTGACCCAGAGATTGAACCCTCATCTCCTGCATTGGTAGGCAGATCCTTTACCAATGAGCCAGCAAGGAAGCCCCCACCATACATCATACCCTGACATTTACCTTTTGGGAATCCCCTAATGCTAGAAGAGGAGTGAAAGTAGCTGCTTAAACTTCAAAAGACAATCATCCTAAATTCATCATCACTACCAGAATTTAGAACTCTATTACAGTCCCAGTGTTGTTCTTGATATTGGTAATTTTACAGTTTCTTAGTTTTTAGGAAAGTTAAAAACAAACAAAAGAAAAAAAACAAAACCCCAAAACAAAAAACCAGAAAATATTACCCGGCCATGTATTATGCTCATGTAGAAAGAGGCGGAAATCTGTAGAATTCACAACTTCCTATAGGACAAACTTTAAACTCTTACTGGTAGCAACTAAACAAATCAGTCAACAACCTTTCGCCACAATTTCCCAAAATCAGATGCCACAAACCAGTGCTTCAGGCATTTAGAACACTGTATGGTCCTGTATCTTTTGGTACTTTGCTGCTTCACTGCATTTTCAGCTGGTGTTTGGTGGCTTCTGGAACTTTACTTACCCACATCATGAAATCTTATTCAACAAGGGCAAATGTAAAGCCTGACTCTCACAAGTTCTTTTTGAGGGCTGGAATTAGCTTCAATCACAGAAGGCCCTATGAACTCTGTCACTTAGCCCACTCACTAATGTTTCAGTGGATTAACCCTGCTCCATTCATCAGAAGACTAGATGAGATAGAAAGGGGGTCTTGGTATAAGAGTAAGGGTAGGAATGGACTAGAAAACATGGAGCTAGAAATCTCAATCTACAAAAGACAAAAGGAAAATTATAGAGTCAGGCTGGGTTCATGTGTTCATACCAGCCAGACATTTAAAAAACGTGCACCTGAGTATTATTATGCAAGCGCCAAGGTATCCCTAGACTCAGAGTTTTGTTTGCTCTTACACAACAATGTTTGTTGGATGAGTTGCCTTTCCCTGCTCACTTCAGAATACCGATCAATTATGGCTGCTTTAATGTAATCATTCTGGCCGAAGCTCATATTAACAGAACAGATAACTTACCTCGGATCATCTCCCATAATATGATTTCCAGTTCATTAAATAATGGTTCTAACACGCACTGTCACACACACTGTCGAAAGGACTTATAAACGTACAATAAACCTAACAGCATAATAAATACACTACCTGAAAGAGTGACGATTCCCCTGGGTTGAGGCTCAAAACGCAAGTATTTGTTACAAAAGTCGGCAGATTCAAGGGCCAAAAACAAAACATTGCCCAAAAAGTAGCCGGCTGTTTGGCCCACTGAATTGCAAGTAGAAGCATAACCCACGTTTTCCCGGGATAACATAGTTAACGCCCAACCATCCACAGCGATGTCCTGGGTGGCTGCCAGGAACTCAAACAAAAAGAATGTCACAGTGAGAGCAACTACGTCGGGGGTTCTGCCATCCGTATTTCCGAGCAAATGGTCCACTTGAGTGGAGAGATATATCATGAAGAATCCCAATATATACTGTGTTGGGACAAGCCAAGATTTGCGACGACCGAAGTTCTTAAAGTAAACCGCATCAACCAATGGGGCCCAAAGCAATTTGAGACTGAAGGGCCAAAAGACAAAACTGAAGAACGCTTGATCTGTATAGCTAACATTTTTGCTCTGCAAAATGAGTGGGATGCTTCCCGCCAAGCCCAGTGGAATGCCCTGAAGTACGTAAAGAAAGAGCAACAGCAAAATACTGCTCAATTCCGCCCGGCAGCTCCGTTGGGTTTTTGAGAAATCAACAGTGCTGATATCCCGAAGAAGAGCTTCTTTGTCCCCTTCCCCGCCCACCACCTCCGGAAGACTATCATCCCAGGAGCCCGGCGGCAGAGGACCACTCTTCAAATCTAGAGAGTGGTTGAAGGTCCCTGGCCGTCGTTGACGACTGCTGTCCTTGTGGGAGACGGTGGGTGACATATCAGAGACGATGCAGAGCCCCGTTTGAGGGGGGCCGGGGCTGAGCGTCTTGGATCCGTCTAGTCCCAGGTCCAAGGCTGTCGCTCTGGACCGGGGTTTCTATGGCTCAGGGAGGGGGGCAGGGCGCGGGTTGATAAGGGCACTTCTTACTGTGGCCCGCAGAGCTGAAACCGGGAGCCAGTCCGCTGGCTGGAGGCCCAGGCAAAGCCCAGGTAGGTGCCCCTTGGAGCGGCGTCAAGGAGCCTGAAGAAGCCCCCCGGGCAGCCGCGCCGGGGTCTGGGCTGGAGGACGGGGCCGTGGTGCTGCTGTGGAAACGGGCCCCTAGCTCCGGCGAGGCCAAACTGCCAGTCCAGCCGGCCCACGGTCTTCTCTCGCCGTCACCGATGCAGCCGACAGCACTTTCTCCACCGGACACCACAGACATCTGATAACTTCCTGTCTGGAGCTTCAGGAAGTGGTCCTAGTCTCAAATAAGTCCTGAACCCGCCTCCGGGGCAAGCCAATCAGGACACGCTCTCTTGGCCGAGTTCGGAAACAATGCTCGGTAGGAACCTGAAGCCCCAGTGGCCGAGACCTCTTGGGAGGATTAACGCGAACGCACCGTGCGGCCGGGGCGGGGCCTCGCTCGAGCTCCGGCACTGTGAGCGCATGCGACCGTATGGAGAGCGTGGGTCTCGGTCATTGGGTCCCTGCAGGCACGTGAGGGCGGATTCAGCTGGGCCTGTGCCGACAGCCAAAGGTTCTACGGTGCAACCTCTGATTCCCGGCGACTCAGTGAGGGATTGTCACTAAGCTCAGTTCAGTTTAGTGGCTCAGTCGTGTCCGACTCTTCGCGAGCCCATGGACTGCAGAACGCCAGGCCTCTGTCCGTCACCAACTCCCGGGGCTTGCTCAAACTCCTGTCCATCCAGTCGGTGATGCGATCCAACCACCTCATCCTCTGTCGTCCCCTTCTGCCTTCAACCTTTCCCAGCATCAGGGTCCCTTCCAATGAACCGGTTCTTCGCATCATGTGGCCAAAGTATTGGAGCTTCAGCATCAGTCAGTCCTTCCAATGAATATTCAGGACTGATTTAGTCACTAGGCTGGAGGTGGGCGAAGCCCAAACAATGGCTGGGTATTTTGTGATGCTCCTGCTTTCGTGGGCCGGGTAGAAACAGTGAGTGACTGAGTTTATGGAATTTACTTAGCAGGCAGAGACGCTCTGTGCCCTCCAAAGGATATAAAAGAGTCCTGGCTAAAAGGCGAAGCGCCTTCCTTACAGTACCTCCTTATTCCTGGAATGAATGAAACTGCTCAAGGCGCGCTAGCTTTCTTCGTAGTCTGTTTTTCAAAGTGGGGGAAGAAGTGTAGGGGAACTGATGTCTGGATAACTAGTTAAATTGGATAGATTGGAATGATAAGATTCCTTATCGTTCTATTTTTTAGTTACTGTAAAAGATCTAGTAAAAACCAAATATTAAAATTTTGTTTCTTGTTAACAGGTGTGCGTTATTGAAATGATCACGGAGAACTTAAATCTTGAGCAACCTGTTTGCAGGGCAGCACTAGAAACGCAGACGCGGAACACTGGTGGTAGCCACAGCGGGCTCCCACAGGGGAGGGTGGGATAAATTGGGAGATTAAGTTTTACGTAAATACACTATCATGTGAAGTGGAAACCTGGTGTGTAGTACAGGGAACTCTGCTCACTGCTCCCTAAAGACTAAGGTGGGTGGGATGGTGTGGGGGGAGGGAGATCCAAGAGGAAGAGGATATATGTATACATATAGCTGATTCATATCATCCTACAGTGGTAACATAACACAACGTTGTAAAGCAATTATACTCCAATAAAAAAGTAGGTTACATATACAAAAAAACCCCCACAAAACTTAAATCCTAAAGTTAAAGAGGGATTTCCCTGGTGGTCTAGTGGTTAAGCCCCATGGCTTGGCCAAAAAGAAAAACGCATAATTCAAGATAAACATACTAAACCTTACACCATTTAACAGATAAAGCTTGTTATTGTTGGCCTCCATATACAAATGTTGAAATTTTGGTAACTGTTTATCTCAAAATTATTCAGGGAAAAAAGATTGGCTTCCTCAAGATGGACCTTAAATTTTAAAGTTACACATTTATTAAATGTAACCTAGAGTTTACACGTGAAACCAAGCTATACAAACAATGCATTTCTGAAAACTAACATTCTGCAATGTTTTGGTAAAGTTTTTGGGAAAGTTTTGGCAGAGAGGTAGTTCTTAGGTGAAATTCCATTTATGAGCATCAAAGGTCTATATACTTGCTGAGAATTCTTTTAAAGTACTTAGGCATATTAAGTTAAAAGTAAATACTTGCTGAATAATGAATTATGTAATAGAAAGTTTAATACTAAGCTAGTAAGTATATGAGTGGAAATTATTTCTATTTCGAGACTAATTTTATAACTTATTACAAATTCCCATTCATATTGTCAGCATCCATTTAGATTTACATATTGCAGAATAGCTATCTGTGTGTATGCTTTTTATCTTGCCCATAAGTTTCTTGGTATAGTCATGATTAAATTTTATTCAATTTTTCTATGGTTAGAGAATTTCTTTCATTATTTTTAAAAAAACAGGATGTATAGGTAAACTGAATCCTTGCATGTTAAAAAAATGTGGTTGTTGACTTCCAACTTCTACTATTACTAATAAGGAAGAAATATTCACCTGATTTTATTTCTTTTGTAAATAGCTTGTTCTTTCTGTCTGATACTAAAGATTTTTTTCTTAATTTCTAGATGTGCCTTTCAAAAAATAAGTCATAATCCTTTCTGGTTATATTCATTATCTATTACTGAGTAACATATTACTGCAAAACTTAGCACTTTAAGAGAGTAAACTTTTTTTTTTTTTTTAAAGCATCTTTTCTTACTGTGTATTGTATTAGATAACGTGGAGAATAGAAAAAAGTCTAAAACACATCCCCATCACACAGGAATCAGTTCAGTTCAGTCACACAGTTGTGTCTGACTCTTTGCGACCCCATGAACCGCAGCACACCAGCCCTCCCTGTCCATCACCAACTCCTGGAGTTTGAGAGTAAACATTTTATCTCACAGTTGTTGACTAGAAGTTCAGAAATGGTTTACCTGGGTGTTTCCAGCTTGGTATCTCTCACGAGGTTGCAATGAGATGTCATCTGGACCTTCAGTCATCTGAATGCTTGACTGGGGCTGGAGAATCCATTTCCAAGATGGCACACTCATATGGCCGTTGGAAGGACGCCCCAGTTCCTTGCCATGTGAAGCTCCCCAAAACTGTTTAGATAGTTTTCCAACATGGTGGTTGGTCTCCTGCAGAGCAGGTGGTCTAAGAGAAAGAGGGAGGAAGAAGTTACAATGCTTTTATGACTGTCTCAAGTGTCACGTACTGTCACTTTTTTTTAGATCTCCATTATATTCCATTCATCAGAAGCATGTCATAAAATCCAGCCAACACTCAAGGGAAGGAGAATAAAGCTCCACCTCTTGAAGGGAGACTTCCCTGTGGCTCAGGCAGTAAAGTGTTTTTGAAGGGAAGAATGTCAAAGGATTTGTAAATAAAGTTTAATCTGTCACATTGGGAGTCAGTGAATCATTTCCATCTGAAGATAAAAATCTTCCTCCAGTTCAGTGAAGTTTTCTTGTATTATTAAAAAAAATTACATGTAGTAATTTATCTATAGATTTTTAAGGGTTTTAAAAATTGAGACATTCTCATGAAGGAAAGGTGCAATTTTGGCTTAATTCAGGTGCAGGTGCCAATAGAAGGACTTTGATGTATTATAAATCATTTGAATTCTATTTGCTATTGTATTTGTCATCTAACCCCTAAATCCTATAAGTTGCAGTGTTAATATTAACTATAGTTACATACATTAAATAGTTATATATTAACTTATAACTCTACTTATTATTGTTAATATAACTAACCTCAACATACCTACTCTGTAATACCTACACCTACTCTGATACTGTATTCAGTACCACTGATACAGATATTGTCACTGTTATTGATGTTTCCTAAAGCCTCAAGGAAACTCCAGGAACATCAAGGGTAAAAAAGAACATAGACTACTGAAATATGCTATAGGCCAATTATTTTCTTAGATATTCAGGTGCCATTACAAAATATACTGGTCCATTAGGCCAAGTAAATTCAATAGCAATCGGTACTAGTAGGTCATTATAAATAAAAAATTTGTGTCTTGTTAAGGTAAGCCCTCAGAACTATTATTGTATGTACAGATGGCCTTCGTGTACTTATTATATCAACTGTGACCTGTAGTGTGGACAAGTCATCCTGCATTTCTAAGTAGTCAAAACAAATCTCTTAGTAACATACTGGTTTTTTAAACTCCAGTAAACTTATCAGGAGGAATTCAGACATAAGTGTCTGCACTGACTAGAAGTTTCTAATCTAAAACTTGTGGTCATACTGACTATGACTTAAATGCACACACAAGCACAAACCAAGAAGTTCAACAACTAATATTAATTTGTTATCTAAAATAATCCAAAATAATACAATTGCTCGACTATTTTCAGGCCAACCAATAGAGCCATACAATAGCTAATACATCTTGAACCCATCAAAAAGAAAAGATGAAAGGATTACTCTTGTTTTTTAAAGGCCACTTGGTTGCCTAAAGTTGATCAAACTGATCTTTGATACTTAGTCCCCTGATTAGGTACAGGCTAGCTAAAAAATTAAATATAAAATAGTTTCCAAAAAAAAAAAAATAGTTTCCAAATGTCTCATGATATTTATGATTGTCCTCATTGTTCCATTCTCCACAATCTGCCAGAGGTTTAAACGCTGTGGTATGGCTATCCAGATCTGACTTTCAAATGATAATACTGAATCAAAGAGTCCAAAGTCATCTTGGTCAATTCCTTTCATTTAGAAGCTGAATTCTGACCAAAAGCATGTTGGGGGTGAGGGATGGGACAGGAAATTCTGATATAGGATATGGTGCAATCTTGGTGTAAGTAAGGTGTAATATAATGCCAGATATTTTGTATAGTAAGCCAGCTGGTCATACATATTGTATACTTCACATTAAGAATCTAAACTCTTGAGGCTTTTAGAGGTTCCAACCCTAATCCTAAAAACATTTATTGTCTTCCCTCAACTTGATATGGCAGTTTTGAAACATAGCTTCCAAATTCTTTATCACTTCTCCCTTTGAGAAGTAGAATCTATGTCCCTTTCCTTGAATCTAGGCTCTGTGAAAAATAGAATGCAGGTTAAGTGATGCTGGAATAATTCCCAGGCGCAAGTCTTAAGAAACCGCTAGTTTTTACTTTCTGTCTCTTGAGATAGTCACTCTTAGAACTGAATTCCATGCACTAAGGGAAGGGCCACCTGGAAGGGAACTGAGGCTCCTGGCTCCCGCTCAGCAGCATCAACTCGACAGCTCTGTGTGTGAGCCATCTTGAGCGTGAATCTTCCAGCCCCAGGCTGGGCTGCCCTTGCTGCCGTCACGTGGAACAGAGGCAAGTCTTCCCCGCTAAAGTGAAAAAAGTGAAAGTGTTAGTTGCTCAGTCGCTCTGACTCTTGGCGACCCCACGGACTGTACCCTGCATCTGCTGCAGCGCAGGTGGATTCTTTAATGTCTGAGCCTCCAGGGGTGTCCCCAGCCAAGTCATGCCCAAAGGGCTGTCTGCTCACCATCCGGCCTTGTGGTCGTCTTCCTGCCTGACACATTGAG